CCCTCACCTTTTTCATGTCCTCATAGAAGAGGTAAAGGAGCTGCTTCTCCTGCTTCTTCTCCCACCAGCCCCGCACGTGGTCATACCAGGACCCGTAAGCCGCTGCAGGATGCAGTTGAAGGGTTAGCTGAAAAGCAGGGTGGTGGGGGATGCCCTCCCCACCAGCATTTTGGGGTGCAGCTCAGCCCCCACCTTTGCCAGCCATGAAGGTCTCCAGGAACTCGGCCAGTGTGCCAGGGTCAGGGTGCAACTTGGCCATCTGGTAGAAGTAGTAGTAGGAGATGACGACATCCTTGGGGTTGCGGGCCATATAGATGATCTGGGGACAGCCGAGGAGGTGGTTAGGGGGTGCAGAGCAATGCCTCCTCCCTGCTGACCCAGGCAGGGAGAGAGGTGGGGGCCAACCATGGCATTACCTTGCAGTCCTTGTCCCAGAAGGAGGTCGGGAGGAGCTGGACCGGGAGATGGGTCTTCACCAACCGCGGGGGTGGGGTTTTCTTCAGCAGATCGATGCCTGTGGGACAGGGGGCTTAGCGGTTTGAGCCCCAGCACCCTCCCCCACACCCCGAGTCAGCCCCCCTCCCCACCCAGCCCAGGAGGCACAGCCGAGCTGGGGGGCTCACCACTCTCCGTCTTGGGGGCCTTCATTTCCAGGAAGGGCACCCGGTTGAAGATGGCATCCCGTCGGCACTTCTCCACATCGCCGTCATGGTAGATCATGTCCAGGATCTCGCTCAGCCACGTCGTGCCTGCAGCACAGGGACAGCGTTACAAGGGCTGCCGTCCCCCCTCTGGCCCCCCCTGCGCCCTTCCCCAGGGCCCACTCACCCGACTTGGGGTAGGTGGCAATGAGCAGGTCATCTGGCCGGGCTTGGAAAGCCTCCACCTGCGGCCAGCCCTCGATGAAGCACTTGTAGAGGGGGATGCCGTGGAGGCTGCCCAGCTCCTCCCTGACCACGTCTTCCACCCCCATGGCCGGCGGCGTGTTCCCGGGGCGCTGGCTGGCTGTCCTCCCC